TCTGCTCCTCCGAGGAACTTCTCCTTTTACCCACGCAGCATGCAAAGGAGAACGAGATACTGCTGGAGGCAAAACGAAGTCAGGTTTTAAAATAACCCGGTTGCAAAAGTGACGCGGGAAGGGCGAGAGAGTGGACTGTTCTCCCCTCACCTAAAAGACCCTGGGATTTGCTGGGAGGCATCTGAAGGGGTTCCTGACACAGTTCCCTCAGCATAGTTACCTGACCCATCTCCTTTGAGAGGAGTGCAGAGTTCTGTGACTCTGACGTGGTGACTCTGAAAAGTTGGGTCACAGGGCCGCTGAGAGCAACCCTTTCTTCTCAGTCAGTTGAAGCAGCGAAGCTCCTTCCCTTGGCCAGCCTAGAAACTAGGCCCTCCTCATCCTCCCGCCCCCCACGTTTTCACCCAGACCCAGCCGGTTCGCTTTACACTGTAATTAAGCCGGGTGAGTGAAACGTCAGCTCCTAGAGCCCTCGCTTTCCCCTCTGAAAAATGGGAATAATCAACACTCCATGTCCATTTGCTTCATGGCAAGTTTGAAGAGTAGGATAAAGATACAAGCAAACGTTATCATTTAGGGCTGGTGAGTTGAATAAAGGGTGCTCTTTGCGTGTTGAGGGTTGACTTCTATCCCAAGCCTTTTCAGTTAAGTCTAACTAAAAGGTGATTTCTAACTAGGTAGTTATGTGTTGACTCTCTGGTTCAGTTGCTTTTTCCAAAGTAAGTTAATTCTTTGTTAAATAGCGCTATTCTCTGACATGTATTACACAAGCAACTTTCAGAAATGGTGTAAATAGCATTTATTAACATCGCTTAGAAATAAACCACATCTTGTAATAAATTAACAGGAAGTTTTCTAGCTACAGGTCTTCCAACACTGCAGGGCTCTGCCAAAGGTGCTGGGGGAAATCACGGACTATTGCATATTTTTTTTTTTAGAAAATCAGGATAAATTATATAAATTATATATTTAAAAGGAGCTTGTCTATTTCATTACTTCAACAAGACAATAAATAGATAAATAACAGTTGATTGCCATTAGAAAAATGTGATTCTTAAATTACATTTACGTTATAGACTTTTACATGTACAATATGCACAGACATTATCAGATCCTCAGGCCAGTCAGTGCAGAGCTTCTCAGGACACCAACTCTAAGCGGGGTTCGTTTTCTATGTTGTTGAAAGATTTGCTGTTGAGTTTTCTGGGGTCCTCTGGGGTCCACACTTTGGCCGTTCGGATAATATTTTGTTCTTTGAGTTGTTTTTCATCAGTCCATGACAGAGAATGTCCTGCGAGGGGAGGGAGGCCATAATCCGGGTCGCTGGGGGAGGGGGACCCTGAGGAAGTGAGAAGAGAAAACAGACTGTGAATGTCCAAGTCTATTGCCAGCGGAGCCCTCCGGTCCTTGGGGACCCCCCTCGTGGGAGCCTCGACAGAATAGGCGTCTCAGGTTACAGTGGCATGACCCTTTTCTTCCACCCCTCGAGCCCCAGCACCCCCTCCCCGAGACCCCCGAAACTGCAGGTCTATTAGGGACACACGCCCTGCGAGACGCAAACTGGTGGAAGAAAACAGAAAAGCCAGCTCTCGCTCCAGGTTGCCGGTGCCCACCGACCATCTGTGCGTCCCTCAGTTGGCTCCTGGGTCCGTTCACCCAGCCCCAGCCGGACCTTCCCGTCCCCGTCCCCGAAGCCCTGAGTGGTAATGCGGACCCACTTACGGGTGCCCCGATGGCAGATGATGACCTTCTGGGCCTGGCTGCCCGGGCTGTCCCCGCCCAGGCGCCCGCCGCCTCCCGGCCCCCCGCCGCCGCCTGCACCGCCGCCGCGTAGCGGCAGGTCAGCCTGCACCAGCTCGCTGAGGAAGTTGATGTAGCCGATGGCCAGGCGCAACGTGTCCACCTTGGAGAGGCGCTTCTCGTAGGGCAGCGTGGGGATGTGCGAGCGCAGCCCCTCGAAGGCGTCGTTGATCGACTGCATGCGCCGCCGCTCGCGCACATTGGCCGCCTGGCGCAGCTGCTGCAGCTCCGCCTCGGAACGCACCCGGCGCCGGCGCCGCGCGGCCGCCGCCGCAGCCCCGCTCAGGCCCCGCAGTCGGGCCGTGGGGGAAAGCACGGCCGCGCCCGCGCACTGGTAGGCCAGGCACGCGGGCGGCGAGCTGGGCGAGTACGGGAAGCCCCCGGGGGTGGCCCCGGCCTCGCAGCAGTAGCCGCCGCCGTCCTCCGATTCGCCCGGACCCCCCGAGGGCGCCGGCGCGAGCCCGTGCGGGGCCGCCGAGGGCGCAGGCTGCAGCAGCAGGCACGCCCCGTCGCGGTAGCAGTACTCGTGCAGCTGGTGGCTGAGGAACTCCACCTGGGCCTGCTCGTCCACTAGCAGCTCCTCTCCGTCCTCCAGTGGGTCCCGGGAGGACTGGTCGGTGAAGAAGTCCTCCTCGTCGAAGTAGGGAGATGGGAAGGCGTCCAGCCCCCCGGGGAAGTGCTCTAGCAGCACCGCTTCCATGCCCTGCGCCTCGGCGCCGTGGGGATTGGCGGCCTCGGGGTTTCTACGTCGGGTGTTGCAGTTTTTGCTGGTCTGGCAGCCCCCTCCTTCCCGGGTCCCGTGCGGGAGGCAGTGAGCACGCACCGCCCTCCCGCTTCCCGCCCCCGGGCCTCCCTGGGGTGCCCGTGGCCGCTGCGCTCGGGCCGGCGCCTGAGCTGCGCTGGGGAGGGCGCGGTGCACTTGCTGGAACTGAGGGCCGGCACGCGAGGACTCTTATAACTACATCCACAGGCGCGTGCCAGGGGCCCGCGGCGCCAGCCAATCACAGCGAGCGGGGTGCCGGCGGGGAGGGGGCGGGGGCCGGCGGCCGCTCGGGGCCCGGGAGGCTGTGCCCCTCTGGGAGCTCCTGCGGCGAGAAGAGGCGGGGCCCGTCCGGTTCCAGGATCCTCCGGCTCCTCCCCGCGGCGTGTCCAGCGGGTACCTGCCCAAAGCGGCTCCTGCGGTGCGCTTGCGGCCTGTGCCCCTCGGGGTCCTGGAGCCCTGAGCTGGGGTAACCTCACCCGGTTTCTTCGCGTAGCCACGAACTGTGCCAGGGGTGCGCGCCTGCGGCTCAGACCACTGGCGTGAGTGACGGACAGAATTCTCCCTCCTCTGGGGTCCGCGCAGAAATTGCGCGAAGCCTGGGCAGTCCCAGGCCGCTGCGGGCCGGGGTCTGCTTTTCACCACCGTAGGCTGCGAGCGCTGGCCTCTGGCCTGGTTTCTCGGATCCCATCACTGAGCCTTGCAAAGACTCCTGCCAAGTTTGCAGGGTGGAGTGGGGCTGGAAGGCGTTGGAAGGCCCAGCTCCTAAGGCGTTCCTTCCAGACTCTGCGCGGGCAAGGCGCGCTCCTGTGGAGCCGCAGCTCGGGGATCTACTCTGGGGCGCAGGTGCAGAGTGACCGCCTTAGCCTCCCGCCCCTTCTCGCTGGGAGGACGAAATGGGGGCACAGGAGGGGCTGCCTGGGAGAGCAGTTCAGTGAGGAAAGTTTCTACTGAGCAAATCGAGACCCCAGGGGTTCTGAGCAATAAAACCCGATACAAAAGGAGTCTGTTGAACCGTCTGCTCTGGAAGTTAAAGGGCAGAGTGGTGACCTTTCCAAAGCGTGAATCGCTCACCTTTCTGCCATTCTCTCTCTCTCTCTCTTCCGCCGTACCCCCCCCCTTCGGCAATGCAACACGAAGTCCACAGGTTACGAAGACTTTCAGGCTTTTAACTGGAGAGTGAAGAAACTGAGAAGATGGCTCGCGTTCATCATACTGGGATAGACTTCTGAGGCTTCTGGTAGGTGTTCAGACCCTTCTCAAATCCAAGTCCATACCCCTTCAGAACACCCACTTAGACACATTTCTTGATGTTAAAAGTACACCGTACTTGACTGAAAACCGAGACCAAAAGTTAACAGCAAAAGGTATGTAAGGTGAGAAAACAGGCGCCTGCCCTGTAAACTGTCAAGAACCCAGGACAAATCAATCCCTCGACTTACTGCTTTTCACCAAGTTCTTTCATTGTTAGCATCTTAGCGTCATAGCGAGGTAGTTATCCTTAAGCTCCAGGTGTGGACAGGTTTCCCTTCTGAGAGCCAGGGCTGAAGTATCCAGTTGAGATTTAGTTCCCTCACCTCTGTGGGAGAGAAGCTGTTGGGGAAGTATGGGGAGGAGGAGTCTGCGGATCTAGCCATCTAGTGGTCTCCTGAGCCCAGATCTCCTTAAATGAGCCCCTCCTCCCCTTCCCTCACTGGTGGGAATATGCCTGAGCAGCAAATGACTGGACGTGAAAGCCTTAGCCAAAATGTAGTTCGCCATTCAAAGAAGGAGAGGCTGGATTCTCGTCTATTCAGTTTCTTTTCAGGAGGCGGAAATGCCTTTTCTGAGAGATCCACAGGTTTTTTTTTTTTTAAAGATTTATTTATTTGTGCATATAGAACTGGGGTACAGGCCAGAGGCTCAGGGGCAGTGAGAGGCTTCACCAGAGACAGAGTGGGGAACAGAACAGGCAGATCGACGAAGTACACTGCTGAGGGGAGCAGCGGGCGGGTCAGGAGAGGTCTGCCGCGCCATGTGGTCACCTCCAGGGCAGGCAGGAATCGAACTCATGCTGAAGCGGCTTTAGATTCTCAGTGCTGTGCCTCAACCCGCTGCGCCACCTTGGAGGGCCGATCCACAGGTTTTTAAGAAAGGATGTTTATGTTATAGGGAGTTGTGAGGCAAGTGCTGGTTAGCATCAGTGAGTGTGTGTATGGGTATCTTTATACAATGTGGCTTTAACAGTTAACCTCTACAGAAAAAGAACTTATATGTGCTTGATGGGTTGAGGAAAGAGTACAGAAGTTACCTTGGATTTCCAGGGGAGCCACTGGGAAGTTTAATGCTGGTGTCAATGCTTGCTCTCCCCTGAGGCTGACCCAATGAGGATGAATAGCCCTGGGTGCTACCTGGATCCAGCCAGGAGGAAGTGTCCCCTGTTCCAGACATAAGCCCCAGCCCTCACTTTCCGGGCCCCCACCACTCTTTCCCTGAAGGAATTACTGGCTCTCTTTAGACTGATCCTGAGGGAAATGAGGTCAAGGCCTATAGATGTGGATACTGGGCTGCTGGACTGAGCACACAGCCCTACGCAGCCATGTGCACACTCACACACTCACTGCCCTTAAATAAGACATGGTCGCTCTTTTAAAAGGAGAAAAGACATTCACTTCTAATAACGGATATTTCTCTAGGTCACTGGAGGTCGCAACAACGGACAGCTGCCCCTGCTTGGGAAGCAGCAGGTTGGATGAGGACCTGGCTGGAACTGAGCCCCCAGCCTGCCTTTCAGCCCCTCTAGGGAGGTCGCTGGTACACTGCAGGAATGTGGAAGAAAACAAGATCAAAGGTTGCAGGTACTTTGTGGAGAGAGGGACAGAGCTCTGCCAAGCTGCATTCCTCTCTGCTCCTGTACTCAGGAGAATGTCCCCTAACCTTCTGAGGCCCCCATGCCTCATTGTAGAATAACATTCCATCCTCTGGGGTAGGTAATGGAGGGCTGTTTGGTTCTTTATAGCACCAAATCCTGGGTCAGGATGCGAGATTTTCCGTGCCTTTCCAAAGGGACTCTGTGCCATCTGCTGTCTTGGCCTTGGCAGACCCCCCCCCCCCATTTCCTTCAGGTCTTCTACATCTCCCCAATTCTCAGCCCCAGGAGAACTTCTGGAAAGGAGGAAGCCTTGGTGCCTCTCTTCTTCTCTCCCCCCCTCCTCCCTGTGGGACTCTAAACCGTAGGGGTGTCACTGTGTTGTCCTCAGAGATCCCACACTCGTGTATGGATGTGACTCATGGTCTGTCTCCCAGCTTGAAAATGGGGCCCTGTTCATTCCTCATGGCCCAAATCCTCTCCCCTCTCACCTCCTGAAAACAGAGGTGATATCAGGTGACTGGTTTCCCTCTGTCCATCCCTCCTTTCTTTGCCAACTCTCTTCACTCCCATTCTGTGCAACCTCCCTCCTCCCTGTTTGACTGCTGTCAGCATCCACCCCTTACCTCTGAGGCCCCAGAAAAAGATTCCAAAACTCAAGTAGAAGGTCACTGCTGAAAGGCCCCAGAGACCCACAGTAACTTCCTTTAGGCCCTGAGGCAGGTGATCGTCCATCCCAGTTCACTAGCCCAGACTGGTTCTGCAGCCCTGCATCTACCCGTTCATACAAGGTGTACTGGTGTTGATGTGAAGTGTGGTCAATCCAGGTTATCAATTACTTCCTGGTCCCCATGCATGACTCTCCAGAGTTCTGGCTCCACCTCCCATTCTTCAGAAACCCCCTATGTCCTGGAGAAGCCATCAGTGAGCAGGGTAATTCCCAGTGTTAAGACAAAGCATGCAGGATTAAATATTTCTTGACCCCCACCACACTATATCAATTATGAATGCTTTTCCCACTCAAAAGTTTCACGCCAATGATGTGATACTTTAGTCCATCCTGGAAATGACTGGCCTGGGTGACGTTCCTCTCAATAGCTACCATGACCTTCCTTGAATCACACTACTTGCCTCTGCATGCTCTTCATTTCTTCAACTTCTCTTCAGCTGACACCTTCTGCGACTTCTGATGCCATGGGGAGTTCTGGTTCCTGTGTTCTACTCCTACTCTTCATTCCACTACACTTGATTTGGTTTGAGAATCTTACACTGAAGCTACTAAGGTTGCTGGAAGGAATAATACTAAAGTTAGAAAAGGAGATGAACATTTTGAAGGACTTTCAGACGTGTATGTCATTCACTGTCATAATTACGCAAACCGAACTCCATACTCTTACCTCAACCTGAGGGAGAAAAGGGAGTCTCCCCCTTAATGCAAGACAGTAAGAGTAGTCAGAGTTCAACACCAGATCAGGCTGACTCCAAGCCTCACGTGTGTTACTTAGCATCGTTCTGCCTCCTCGCTGTCTCTCTACTGACTGTAACTAGTGTAATATGGTTTCTGCAAAGGATTTGCTTCTTTGCTGCTACACAATATTATGAGAGAAAATGAGCAGGTAGTTCTTATTATTGGCAACTGGAAACAGATGCAAAAAGGCTAACCCCATTTCCTAGAGTGACAGCAAAAGAAAAATTTGGGCCCTGTCCCACTTGGGAGAGAGGCACATGGCGGTGGTAAGACAGAGAAATCCAAATCTGAGCACCCAGCTTCCTGCTTTACATTCAGTTGTTAAACATTAATCTGTTAAGGAACAAATACCTAAATCCTGATATAATTATCCAAATAAGTTTTATTTTTTCTATCACCAAGGTTTATTTGTTGAATAGCAAAGCCAGTGAGCTTTGTCCTTCAGTTTTGTTTTCCTGAAAGATGTTTGAACTTCAGTAATGTAAACACTGTAAGTCACTACTACTAGACTTTTGCATCTTGGTCTCTTTACTGAGCAGTGGGCAGGGCTAGGAGTGAATTTAATAGAAGCCAGAACTTTGGGCACTTTTCTGTTAGTTCCTTTGCAATGCTGTGTTTTCTGGC